TGCGCCGAGACAGGGGTCTGATAGACAAATCCTGGTATCTGGATCCGAATCGTCGTCTTTGACGACAATGTCTTTCATCTTGAGGTTAGGTTGTTGTAGAATCCATGAGACTTCAGCAGCCGTCGAAAAATTTGAACCTTGTTCGCGGTTATATTCCAAAATGAGGCTGTACATAGGGGATAGAGCGTATCCCCTTTCCATGCCGAGGCGATGATTTCCTGAGCTCTCAAGTGCAGCATTAGCTGGTGTCGAGGAGTGCGACGGATTGGGAACTCCCGAGCCAGGAGGATGATTCGAAGGGAGAGATGAAGAGTCGCCTGTCATTGTTTTAGGCAAAGTAGGATTTCGGCTAGATGGAGATTTAAGCCGAGGGATTTGGGATGAGGATTGATGAGGGGGCGGATCCCGCGAAGTGGTTGCTTTGGAAGTAGTGAGGGGAGCGTCTCCGATAGGACTTCTCCTCCAAGGGGAATCTGTCGATAGGGGCAGTGAAGTGGTTGTGGAAGATTTCGGAATCCTTGAAGATCCAAAAGTGCCTGAGAAGGCAGGCCTACCCCCCCTAGATACGACGGGGGGAGTCGAGTTCTTCGGTGCTCGGTAGTCGGACAGGGTGGTCGACAGAGCGAAAGGTATAGTGTAGAAGACCGGATGTACGAATCTAGATTAGATTAGAAGTCGGCTAGGTGTATCGACTGATCCCACAGTGTCCACCTTTGTGAGCGCTACTTGATGTAGGAATCACTCGGGTAGTGGGACAGTCGTTGGGGCACCTAGCGAACGCGACGTACAGAGGTGTGAAGACTCACCTAGTTGATCCAAACGGAATCGTTGTGCGCTCGGAGTCGTGGAACGTGACCGTTCAGCATACCCGTGTTCCGATCTCCACGGACAGTCCCTGTGGAGATTGCGTAAACGATTCCTCTCGATGCCTACTTGCGGTTTCTCAGAGTTCAGAGCAAAGCCGTTGGTAGGGCCTTTGTATCCGAACGATACGAGATTTGCAGGTGGTGGTAAAAGAGATACTATTGCCTCATGTACTACATGAGGTATAACTACAATGCTTATGTAAAGCATGACATAATACAAAGTAAGTAGGCATAAAGGGGAGACTTCGGGGAGCGGAAAGGATATAGGAGTAGGATCTTACTTGCATGCTACAACCGCTTGTGGAAGAGTTTGTGACTCCTGCCAGGAGATAACGTTGAACGTGCTGTACGAAGGGATCGTTGGCCGCATCGAGAGTGGGATACATGAGAACACACCTCTTGTGTATCATCCTATTGGATCGCTGACAGAGCTAATGCGGCGGAAATCCGAACAACTGGTTGAATTGCGCTTGATGAAGTTGAACGAGAGCAAGAAAGTCTTGGTGAAGATTGCAGCGTTAGACGACCACAAAAAGTGGGTGCTGGCAGTTGAGAGCGGAAGAGTCGATCGTGTGGCTGCTCTGGTTCAGGCTGGAAGGGGAAAGAAGCTTGGTGTGAAAGGACTCATCGCTCAATACGAACAAGCGGCGAGGAAGCTCTACAAACCGAAGGGTTTTACGAGAGAAGAGATCATGATGTCCATTGTTCTCCTCTGGATTGGTGGTAACTGCGTGGGATCCTTCGCCCATTTGGCTATGTCACTCCCTAGCGTCACAACTGCACGGAGGAATGCACTACTCCGGCCCATCACAGTGTCCGCCTCGCACCCCACTGTGTCGGAGATTGAGCAAAATATAAAAGAATCTATACATCGATCCTCACCAGAGCTCAACATAAACCATGAAATCGACGTCGCCTACAATCTCGACCCTGCACCCGTTCCCCAGGCTGTTCCTCCAGAAGGCAACGATAACGGCAGCCGGCGCACACGCACACGCGGTAAAAAACGACCGCATTTGGACCGAGGATGTCACGGTTGCGGGGAGGAAGTAAGTTTGATTGAGAGAGAGGGAGGAGATGCTATTGAGTGCAAGGGAGAGGGTTGCGAGACTCTATGGGTACGTAAATATTTTGGAAATCATCGAAATGTTTTTCTGACCAGCCGCTCACTTTAGTTTCACCTGAAATGCGTGAAGGTTAGCCGTGGAGTAAAGTCTTGGATGTGTCCGACTTGTTTGGATATGGGGGTGAAGTGTCGTCACATGTAGAAACTCAAAAAATGTTGAAATCTTAATGTTTTTGACATAAGAACTTGGAAAATTTCCTTTTTTGGGGGGGTAAGGGGGGGTACGCCAAGGGTGCCTTAATTCATTTTGGGACTGTATATGCAAAAACCACGTTCCGCCACCCCCTTGGTCTTTCCTCATCGCTACCTTCAACAAACCCCTCGTTCTCCCAAATTTTATAAACATATTGACAGCGCTCAAGAGGCATCGCAATGGAGCGGGGTGCAAGAATCTCGCTAAACAGAATGCGAATGAAAGTTACCGAACGTCTAGAGATTTCGTAAATACCTTTCAGGATGGCTTGGGTGCTAGTAATGCACATTTACACAATTGTGAGTTCATTACTTGTCGTAAAGTTGATATTCAGAATGGGTATACCCCCTTTCAAGACCGACGAGTGGAGAGTTTTGAACAAGTTCCTGGATAGCGATGTTGTCAAGATCATTCGAGATGAGATGGCCGACTTCGGAGAAGAAAAAGAGAATCCGGGTGTGTTGAGCGATCATGAAGTCAAGCAACGCGCACCGAAACGAGCCATCTCAACAATATTCTCTCTGTCTAGACAGGGATCACTCTCGAAGAGGAGCCACCCGAAATTTAGAATTTGGTATCTGCTTACTTTTATTCCATGTCTCGGACGTTGCAAGGACGCTGTAATATAATTTTCTTCTAATTCATCTTGAATCCATGCTCATGTGATCCCCATCCGCCTTCCTGATTTAGACGTTATCTGAGCTATTTACTAAATGCGGACTTGACCCATTTGGGTTGCTGATGGTACATGGTCGGGGGAGTGGGATGTCTCGGGATCTTCCCGTCGCAGCCCCTTGCCACGGTTTCAATTGCGTGGTTAGTATGCCTTGCCTCAAGGTCCAGGGGAGGCTATTACAGACGCAAAAACGGACAGGGTGGGTGAACAACGATGTGCGCCTGTTCCACTTCCAGTTTGAGTGTTTTCTCATTCAAGTAAGTATTGGTATCGCGTAGACCCCTAATCCTGAAAGGTGCCTACTACGTGCTGTCGATCCAAGAGGACTGACTCGTGCTCGTCCCAAGTATATCCGACCTCTGTGCATGTTATCAGCTGACACGCAGCTCGACATCTCCCAATGGGCGTCTTCGGTTTTCCTACATTGACACGGTGATAGATGAGCACATCATTCGCCATCCCCTAAACAACATCGTTATCCCCTTCTCCTTGCATCCACGTCGGCAACTTATTCATTCGCCCTTCCGCTTGACCTTCGGCCACCCTCCCTTCTCCAATTAACCTCCACTCTCAAAGGAGCACACCATTACGATTTCTTTTTGGAACACACATGCACGTTCTACATCTCCTCTCGCCGAGCGCGAGAATGCAAAGAGGTTTCATGCGACTGTTGTTTTTGATGCTGATACCGGCTTGAATCGGTGGGTCTCGTCTTCTTTTTCTTTGGGGTATACGAAGCTGATGGACAATGGTAGTTCACAAGTAATGAAAGACTTTTCGTTCACCGACCTCCTCTCCTTGACAAGGCACACAAATCATCTTTTCCTACCTGAACAGAAAACTTGAACTATCCCTCTACCCAACCCGTCGAGCTCTACCACTCACCGAAGCAATCTTAATGACGTCCTTCTTAAAATCTTAACATCCCACCGGCAAGCATACACACCTTACCCCACCTTCGAATTCGAACGTCTCTCCTCGCACAAACGATGGCCCAAGGGATGTGGGATGATATCATCAAGAGTTCACGATCGTTGTGAGGGAGGTGACGAGGACGAGGACGAGGAGTGAGAAGTTTATTCCTTTTTAGGTCCATGGGAAGTTTGTGGAACGGGCGGTTGTTTGAGGGAGTGGAGGAAGCAGCATGAGCGGTTGGCTTGAGGGAGAAGGAGTGGAGGGGGAATGGATATGAAGGAGGAGGTTAAGGGGGCTTCTGAGGTTGTTAAACGGGAACAGGAGGCGTACCCCACCCCAGCTACTTCGATTCGCCCCTCACCCACACCCAGACCTAAATCAAAGAGGAACACGGCTGTTGCATTTTTGTCAATGAGTGCTTCGTTTTCGCATTTACCTGCCAGGCCTGCAAATACCCGAATATAGCCCCAACTGAAGTGCTCCAAACAGTTATAGTCCTATGACCCCGAATGATTTGGATGTTCGTCGGTGGCTGGGGCAGGTTGGGTACTCAAGGGCGGGCGACACTTCCTTAACAGAAGCAGCACCAGCAGCAGTATTCGCAACACAAGTCTTTCCCCTAATAACACTACTCACCAGAGTATCAATACAACCTCACGTTTGGCCCTCCTAAAAAGCTTCACCGCAGTATCAACCCCCTCTTACTCATCACCACCAACATCAACGGGCGCAAGGGACTTGTTCACACCATTCGTCGCCGCTATATCGACATTTGGATTTTTCGCAAAGCCAACGAGGGCATCATCAGTCTTCGCCACACTTGAGCCGAGGGACGTCGCCTCAGTATCACCAAGAACAATAGCAACGACATTCTAGGCAGATGCAGAGTCAAGGGCTCCCGCGGTTCTATGATAATGTGTGGAATACGCAGCCTGCTATTGTGGCTCCTCACTGAGGTCTTCTGAGTCCAAGAGGATATTGCGTGTTCTTTTTCTTTTTTGGGAGACCTCTATGTGATAGAGGGGGATACGAACCACCCTGTACGGCTGGGTGGAGCGTTTTGACCTGCTCGCCTACCATTTCTGGGGCTTTGGTACATCCCTGTTTCGTGTAGAAGGATCGATGATCGTATCCGAGTCACATGACCATCTCCTCCGAAATCACCTCCTCTGCGCACACCTTTGCAAACTCAACCATCTCCGAATCAAAAAAAGATCCCCGAAAGTCAGTCTCACCGTGACCTTCGCAGCACTCCACACCCTCTTATCCTCCATCCATCTCGCGTCACCCATCCAATGCACGGCTCCGTTAAGCTTCCCGGCATCTACCACCATTGTCAGCGCCATTTTGTTACAGGCAACGTGGTACCCGTCCAGGACACCTATTTGTGCGAGGGCTCTTCCATATCTACAACAACTGGGCGTGAACACCGTTCGTGTATACAGCGTCGATTCGACCAAGAACCACGATTCGTGCATGAGCGCCCTCAGTGGTGCAGGCATCTATACCATGTACGTTCGTGCCGTCCGTCATACCCTAGAGAGCCAGTGCATACTGTTAATAAGAGGACGTTCATCCCTCTTCTCGAACTTTATGCACCCCCCGAAAGTGATTGGATAAGGGGTCGATCCCGGGTACGAGGATACAATCCACAGGCAGGCACGCCGCGTACGTATGCGCTGGGAGCTGTTTAGGGCCAGAGGTGGCTGTTACGGGGTCTAAGGCGTCGGAGACGAAGTACCACGTCAAGATGGGAGCCTTGGGGCCAAGGTGCTGGACGGTGGGGAAATTTGCAAGATAGGCTTGGCTGTGGCTGTTGAGGTAGTCCATGGTACCCACGGCATCGAGGTTTTGATGGTCGGGGAAGAGGAGGACTGCGATGCTCAGGCTGGGTGGGGTGGCCATGGTGTAGGGTTAGGTTTGTTGAGTTCGTCTTTCAACTGATCCGTCTATTTTATATTCATCTACAGGTGTCTTTGCAACCCCGTCTGGATTTCTAAGCGGCCGACGTTCTGGACAGAAGCGTCTCCAGATGTTGTCGATGCTAATCACGCGCAGCGATTTTGACGATGATCTTTTGATAGGCGGGATCTTCTGTCCGGCAGCCTTGATTGCGTAGACTAAACGCGCATCGAACATCAAAGTGCGGTAGATACATATCATAAAGGTCGGAATCCAAGTGTCTTACCCTTTTTTGAAGGAGGAATGGCTGATTTTGTCTTCAAAGCATGCTGGTGCAACTGCCAACTACCAATCTTCCGCCTTACATAGGTCCACATTGAGGTTACCGCGATGTAACTTTCCGCAGAACGCCAAAATATAGAATCTGATACACTACATATTTCTTTCCGTTTGATACGGAAGTCGGGACTTTTCACAACCAGTATGATTCAGATTGAGGCCTGCTCGTTTCACGAAGTTGAGGGCTTCCAGTGGCCGTATTTCCAGCGGCCGCCCTTGGTCGTTGAGGACTGATCCCCGTTTTCTGTGGATGGATCGAAATGAACCCCAATCTAGGGTGGAGGCGAATTCAGTGGATCCAAATGATGTAGGTGAAGCCTCTTACCTGATACAAAGCGCTCCTGACATCCTCTTTTACCAGAATTCTGGGATTTACCTTAGACCGTTGCCATCGTGCATGCGCAAAACCCTTTCTGCCGTTCTCTCAGTTAAGATAGTGAAGAGATCGGGGATGGAAAACGGAAATCCACGGTATCAAGCGAGGGTCAAAGGCGAACGCACCAGCTTGATCCACATTCCATGCACATGACCGATTTGTGCGCTCTACTCCATTGTGATCTTTGTTTCATAAATAGGTCTTATGTTGACGGAGATGATCGTCTTGAGCTTCAGCGTACGTTTGGCATGGTCGTCTTCCCATGTGAAAAATGATACGTTAAACAGCTGTGGTGCGGCCTTGCTTGAGGAATCACTTTCTCCTTTCAACATCCCTCCGAACAACCACATCAAGTGCCAGGTTTTTTGGTCTGATCTTCACCAATATTATCATAACTTAATACTGAGAAAGTTGGCACCGCCTTTTCAGCAATGATTGAAGCACAAATTGCTCTGCGATCTTCGGTTATTAAAAGTTCGAACCAAACTCAGTATATTGGCTTCGATTTCGCTCAAATTTATATCAAGGACGATTGCAGTCATCGTTCACGTTTGTTCACTGGAGTGCACAGGCTCCTGGAATCCTTCTCTTTACTTGGTCTACACCCAGGCTTCGGACGCTCCCCCTCAATCTCAATCTCCTTCCCAACCAACGTCCTTACCAAGATACACTGTCGCAAACGAACTGCAAGATCAATCCCGCTCGTGGTCCCAGCCGCATTACATACCTCCCCATCTTTCACCCACCTGCGGTCCCGATCCAATGCACGTTGTGGTTCAGCTGTCGCGCGACGTGTTTCAATGCTTTCTTGTTACTTAGACGTGGCACCATGTCACGTGACGTTGCATGGATGTGATGTACCGCCACATTAGGCTGCCCAGTGGATGAAAGTCCATTGCGCGCAGACGGCTTTAGCTGTGGTTGTGGACCGACTGCGTCCAGCGACTGGTAGTCTGGGAAGAGGATGAGTCGGTCGCTGCGAATCAGAGGCTGGCGCTTTCTGATAACGACAGCTAGACCATACCGCTCTTCCACGTTCTACGACAATTCATTGGCGCGATAGCGGCTCTCATTCCCCGACAACCTCTCGGGTTATATACTACGCGGGGTAAACTCCAGCTTCGCCCTTCCACAACGGTTCCTATCCCCGGCCACTTGGTTTGCGATGTTGTTGACCAAGGCACTGGCGTTCTCATGCACGTTGTTAAGAGTGCTCATCTCTAAGTGGAGGGCTCTAACTGCCGTCTTGATCCGTATGCTCCAATTCCGCTTGTTTTGAATTTCATAATACTCATACGCAGAAGAGGGTAGAGTGTCCTGCCTAGGCGAAAAACGCAGAAGTTATAACAATGGAAAACACATATGATTACGTTCTAGTGAGCAGCAAGCAGGAGGAAAGCGCAGACAACATAGCGATGGGAAGGGGTCAAGCAGAACAGTGATGGATCGTGAAAGGAGTGGTATATCAGTTCGGTCTTTCACTTCCACGAATTATATTGGCTCTTTAGAATCTTTGCGCGGTTTATCTGTGCATCACGTCAAGCCGGGGAGAGCAACAGCTCGGAAGAACATACTTCGAGGTTCCTTTCTAGGCGATCAACATCCCGAATGCACTCATTAATCTCGAGTGAGAGACCCCTACAAATGGCCTTTATCTCCTGCAAAATTCCGCCAGACGCTACGAGTGTCCTCTCGTAGAGCTCAAAGGTCATGTAGCGGATTCTAAAGAGCGTATATTGTGGACACAGTAAGCACGTTATTAATGAAACAATATCAGCGACCCACCTTCCTATGTCTCTCGTGAATTTATTAGTGAAAATTGTATCCGATTGACGCATAATTCCACTATCGACGGCGTCCTGTAATTTTTCTTCCAAGGATGAGAGTCGAAGTTGAAGTGTTTCCATGAGGGTTCGTGGGCGCAAGGCGTGGACGCATATAAGGAAACCGAGGAGGACGGCTCCAGCCCGCACTAGGTCTTGCGGGATGAGGGATAGAATGACCATCCATGCTGCTGAGATGATTGCTCGGTGATACTCTTGAAGGGACATTTGGTAGGACGGCGGGGGAGAAGGTTTTGCGTAATCTCCCTTTCGACGAGTTTTTAATCAATCCCATAACCCATTCCCCGATACCCCAATACGCGCCACTCCCTTGGACCACAGCAGATCCAGGGTCACTTCTGGCTCTGCTCAGTCCTTGTGCGTCTTTTACGGTCATAAACGGCCAATTTTTCGCACGTAGTAAAAATCGATGAAGGTCAAAAAAATATGAAGCGCCCAAGTTGTCGAAAAGGTGCGTTTTTTCGCATCGGCAACTCGATCGCGCATGATACCTGCATGATACCCAAACATATTCTTCACAAACTCTTTAGCACGTTATACGAGTCCGGCTGTGAGCGTAGTAAAAATCGATGAAAAGGTGACTACTACAGAACTTTCTCCCACCGTAAATGTTTTCAACCCTTAAAGAGTGTCACCAGGCAATCATCTCAGCAGTGTGAATGATCATTCTAACCCCATCCCACAAGACCTAGTGCGAGCTTGAGCCGTCCTCCTCGGTTCTCTTATATGTCTACACACCCTTCGCCCACGAACCCTCACGAAAATACTCCAACTTCTCTCATCCTTGGAGGAAAAATTGCAGGCCGCCGTCGATAATGGAATTATGCGTCAATCGGATACAATTTTCACTAATCAATTCACGAGGGACATAGGAAAGTGAGTCGCTGACATCGTTTCATGAAATAACGTGCTTACTGTGTCCACAATTTGTGCTCTTTAGGATTCGCTACATGATCTTTGAGCTCTACGAGAGGAAGCTCATGACGTATGGCGGATTTTTTCAAGAGATGAAGGCCGTTTGGGAGGGTCTCTCACTCGAGATTAATGAGTGCATCCGCGATGTTGATGCCCTAGAATGGAACCTTGAAGTATGTTATACGACCAAGGGCGGCCGCGGGAAATATGGCCACTGGAAGTCCTGGACTTTGTGTAACGAGCGGGCTTCAAGCGTCTTGACAGTGCTGCACAGTGGAAGGCTGTGAAAAGTCCTGTGTCCGTTCAAAATTTCCATGGCATTTCCAGCATATTAGAATATATATGCTGGCATCCTGGCGAGGGTCATGTCGTAGTAACTTCTATGGTCTGAACACTTCTCTCGACTTGGAGCTAAGGCGAAAAATTGGTCAAGAGTTGGCACTTGCAACAAATTCACTTTTTTTTTCTCGTCTGATGACACGCTCTCGGCGAACTTGATACTTGTTCAGGCCTTGTGAATGAAATTAGCCGCTCTGCCATGGAGATGAGGTATGGGCATCTGTATTACTGACCTTCCCAGCTATGTTGAATCGACACGAGCGTGGAAAGTATTCATCCGCAAGGCTGCTGTGCACGATCAGCCTGACCACTGCGGGGAATGAATATCAATGAATCCTTGTCGCTTCTTGAGAGAAAATCAGTTGCTTGCCAGTTCACCTAGGGTTGCGGAGGTGCCTGGTAATGTAAGTATAAGATGAGTGAATTAGTTGCAAGAGGAGTTCAATAGACCCGACTCTCCGACTACCTCAACAACGACAGCGAAGCCTATCTTCCAAATTTGCCAACCGTCCAGCAGCTGAGTCCTTGCCATATAAGGGCCACCTAGGGGCCCGTACGCAGAGTTCCCTGTGGATTGTATCCTCGTACCCCGGATCAACCCATATCCAGCCTTTCGGAGGGGTTCATTAGAAAGAGATGGGCTGATCTGAACTTCCTCGTGTTGAGTCTGCACTAGCTCGCACAAACAGGTCCTGGACGGGTACCACGTTGAAAATGGTGATGGACGCCAGGAAGCTGAACAGAGCGGTGCATTGGGTGCGAGATACGAGATGGGTGAAGAAGGATGGGATTGGGATGGGTGTGGAATGCGGCGGGGGTTACGGCCCACCATTGGACATTCACCGGAAGAATCAATAGCCAGATACATGGAAAGATAAGCAAAGCGTGTATTTTCGCCGTTATACTCAAGGAAACGATACGCTTGCCTTCATTATCGGTACCGCACGTGATTCCATTCCTCTTACAATCCCGATTCAGTATTCAATATTCATCCATAACACTCCTACTCGGCGCCGCAAGGTATCTCGTGCACCACAGCACCATCGAGCTTACTCGCCCACTCCCTCTTTTCCTCGGCCTCTAACGCTGGCCCGGCACCTCACAGGCCTCACCCCTCGAATCAGCGTACCCTCCAACACTTCCCCGCTGATAAAGTCAACGCCGTTGACTTTCTCTGCGCGTTTCAACCCTCTTTTTAAAGGGGAGAGCGAGAACGCGTGGGGCCACCACAGGTCGGCTTTCCCGCCTGCTAGACGAGTACGGTGGATGCGCAATTGTTGGCCTGCATCCGAATGATGTACCTAACCACCTCCTCCGAAATCACATTTGCAAACTCAACCATCTCCGAATCAAAATACGATCTCGCAAACTCAATCCCACCGTAACCCCTGCAAGACTCCACACCCTCCCATCTTTCACCCATCCCGCATCACCCACCCAACGCATTGTCTAAGCTTCTTGCGTCAACCACTTTCCTCAGCGCCATTTTGTTGGAGGAGACTGTGGTACCCGCCCAGGACACCTGTTTTTGACTAGAGAATCAGTGCAGACTGTCAGTAAGAGGACCTTCAGATCGTCCCATTGCTCCTTTTCACGGACTTTATACATCAAAATACTGGACAAGGGGTTGATCTCGGATACGAGGATACAATCCACCGGCGTGCACGTCTCGTAAGTATCCGTTGGGAACTATTTAGGGCCAGAGATGGCTGTTATTGGGCCCAAGGTGTCGGAGTCGAAGTATCACGTCAAGATGGGAGCCTTGGGGCCAAGGTGCTGGACGGTGGGGAAATTTGCAAGATAGGCTTGGCTGTGGCTGTTGAGGTAGTCCATGGTACCCACGGCATCGAGATTCTGATGGTCGGGGAAGAGGAGGACTGCGATGCTCAGGCTGGGTGGGGTGGCCATGGTGTAGGGTTAGGTTTGTTGAGTTCGTCTTTCAACTGACCCGTCTATTTTATATTCATCTACAGGTGTCTTTGCAACCCCGTCTGGATTTCTAAGCGGCCGACGTTCTGGCCAGAAGCGTCTCCCGATCTTGTCAATATTAATTATGCGCACCAATTTTGACAATGACCTTTTGATAGGCGGGATCTTCTGTCCGGCAACCTGACTTTGTTTGCAGGGCACGCTGGCGCAAGTGCCAACTTTCGACCAATCTTCCCGCCTTGAGTCTACATTGAGGTTACTCCATGCAACTTTCGGCAGAACCCCAAAATATAGATTCTGATACGCTACAGATGCCATTCCGTTTACTACGGAAGTCATCAATAAATTCACAGCCATACATTGTGCAGCACTATCACAATGCTTGAGGCCTGCTCGCATCACGAAGACAGCTGCAGAGCTTCCAATGGCCACATTTTCACAGCCGTCCTTGGTGGTTTAGGTCTGATCCCCGCCTTCTCTGGATGGATCGAACTGAGGCCCAACCTGAGACGGAGGCGGATTCAGTGGATATAAATGATCTAGGCCAAGCCTCGTTATTCAAGGCCCTCCTGACATCCTCTTTTACCAGAATTATTGGATTTTACCTCTGACTGTGTTATTGTTCATGCGCAAAAACCTTTCTGCCGTCCTTTTAGTGAACATGGCAAAGAGATCGGGGACGGAAACCGGAAATACACGTTATCAAGCGAGGGTAGAACCAGTCTGCGCCACACATGATCGATTTGTACGCTCCACTTCATTGTGATATTTTGTGCTCGACTCATTGGTTTCATAGGATGTTGACGGAGATGATCGTCTTGAGCTTCAGCGTGCATTTGGCATGGTTGTCTTCCCATGAGAAAAACTGACACGTTAAACAGCTGTGGTGCGGCCTTGCTTGAGGAATCACTTTCTCCTTCAACATGCCTCCGAACAACCACATCAAGTGTCAGGTTGTTTGGTCTGATCTTCACCAATATTATCATAACTTTGATATTGGGAAAGTTGGCACCGCCTTTTCAGCAATGATTGAAGCCCAAATTGCTCTGCGATCTTCTGTGGTTAAAAGTTCGAACCAAACTCAGTATATTGGCTTCGATTTCGCTCAAATTTATATCAAGAACGATTGCAGTCATTGTTCACGTTTGTTCACTGGAGTGCACAGGCTCCTGGAATCTTTCTCTTTACTTGGTCTACACCCAGGCTTCGGACGCTCCCCTCAATTTCAATCTCCTTCCCAACCAACGTCCTTACCAAATACACCGTCGCAAACGAACTGAAAGATCAATCCCGCTCGTGGTCCCAGCTGCATTCCATACCCCCCATTTTTGACCCACATTGGACCCCGACCCAATGCATGTTATGGTTCAGCTGTCGCGCGACGTGTTTTAAGGCTTTCTTGTTGGACGTGGCGCTATGTCACGTGACGTTGCTTGACTTACTGCCACATTAGGATGCCCTTGCGAGGAGTCCATTGCGCGCAGACGGGCTTAGCTGTGGTCGTGGACCGACTGTGTCAAGACACTGGTAGCCTGGGAAGAGGATGAGTCGGTCGCTGCGAATCAGAGGCTGCTGCTTTCTGAAAACGACAGCTAGAACATATTGCTCTTCCCCATTCTACGACAACACTCACAAATCACTGGCGCGATAGCGGCTCTAATTCCGCGACAACATCTCTGGCTATACACTACGCAGGGTAAACTCCAGCTTCGCCCTTCCACAACGGTCCCTATCCCCGGCCACTTGGTTTGCGATGTTGTTGGCGAAGGCGCTGGCGTCCTCATGCGCGTTGTTTAGGTTGTTCATCTGTAAGTGGAGGGCTCTTACTGCGTCTTGATCCGTATGCTCCAATTCGCTTGTTTTGAATTTCACAATACTCATACATTTACAACAGTCAGCTTGTCGATGCTAAACAAAGAGTGTCCTGTCTATGCGAAAAACGCAGGAGTTAGATCAATGTCGGAATACATATGATTACGATACAGTCAGCACCAGAAGAACGAAAGCAGGAAGAAAGCGCAAACAACATAGCGATGGGAAGGGGGTCAAGCAGAACAGTGATGGATAGTGAAAGGTATGGTATATATTCAGTTCGGTCTGTCACTTCCACAAATGATACTGGTTCTTCAGAATTTTTGCGCGGTTGATCTGTGCATCATGTCAAATTGGGGAGGGCAACAGCCCAGAAGAACATACTTCGAGGTGCCTTTCTAGGGCATCAACATCCCGAATGCACTCGTTGATCTCGAGTGAGAGACCCTCCCAAACGGCCTTCATCTCCTGAAAAATTCCGCCAGACGTCATGAGCGTCCTCTCGTAGAGCTCATAGATCATGTAGCGGATTCTGAAGAGCGAATATTGTGGACACAATAAGCACGTTATTTTATGAGATGATGTCAACGACCCACCTTCCTATGTCCCTCGTGAATTGATTAGTGAAAATTGTATCCGATTGACTCATAATTCCACTATCGACGGCGTCCTGTAGTTTTTCCTCCAATGACGAGAGACGAAGCCGAAGCGTTTTCATGAGGGTTCGTGGGCGCATAGCGTGCAGACATATAAGAACACCGAGGAGGACGGCTCCAGCCCGCACTAGGTCTTGCGGGATGAGGGATAGAATAATCATCCACGCTGCTGAGATGATTGCTTGGTGATACTCTTGAAGGGTCGAAAACATTTAGTAGGATGGGGGAGAAAGCTCTGGAAAGTTTTGAAGAGCAGCCTCCTTTAAATTTTCAGCGAGTCTTTCCTTACCGTAAGCAAGCGCCCCACCGATAACATAGGTGCTTCGCTGATCTCAAGATACATTCCCTAAACAGGCCTGGGATACTATCTCGATATTATCTGACGTTTTGGTTGTGTAGCTCCAATTCTACAACTCCCAGCGTAAAAAAATTAGAGGAGTTCGCTCAATGTAGTTTTGCATGCTCCCTGAAG